CGTAGTTAAGGCCTTTAAGATATTCAAATTGGTCATGTCTTTTAAGCACATCCACCTGAGAACTGGGTAACTATCTGTTTGCAAGCATACTGTGTATTCAGCTCAATGCATCTGAAGGTTGTGAACCTTGTTCAAATGAGTGGGTTGAATCAGGGAGAACAAAGCTGGAGGAGCTGCTCTTACAGCAAACAAGATTGCTCTATGGCTAGTCTATTGTTCTGACAAGTCTCCTAGACAGACAAGAGATTACACCTGCTATAACACTGCAAGTCAAACACGTTTTGTTAATTCTACATCTATTTTGCTTTCTTCTTTTTGTTTCCGTATAATCATTGCATGGAGTAGGGAAAGGAGTTAGAATGTATTTTCTCTAGGCCAGAGAACAATGCTTCCTATGCACCAGATAAAAGAAATCTGTGTGCATGTGTATGACAATGGTAAAAAGTACAGCATGGTCACTGTGGGAAAGCAAAACAGAGCCAGCGGGATCTCTATGGTTTTAATGATTTCTGAAAATTACTTGCAACTTTGCCAGGTCCAATTAGTCCGTTTAAGTCACTACAAATATGAAGATGTCTTTTTCTAAAAAGGTAAATTTCTGCAGCTCAAGCTCAAAGAACAGAGAAAATGACTTTTATCTATGACAATGAATGATCTGATTATTTTGGTTCATTATAGTAACCATGTTCCCCTTCTTTCTATGGGTTAATATTTCATTTCAAAACAAATAAACAAACAAACAAACAAAACTCCAACCCTCTGACCACCTGATAAACTAACTCCACAGTTTGAACTGAATTGAAATTCTGTAAAATACGAGCAGGAGTTTTTAAGAGTACTTTCAGCACTCAGGCTGAAATGCACAGAAAATAAAACACATTTCATTACACAGTTCCTAAACTTACTTGAAGACATCTTAAGTCCCCATAATTGCATTCACAGATGCCTAAAGCAAAAGAAGGACTAACAAACTAGTACAGACCAAACAGAAGGCACGCAAAAGAGAGGGCTCTTTGTGCCGTCTTGAGCATGTATTATAGTGATATACAGCATAGAGATTAGTGTTTCAGTAAAATATTTTATAGAGAATGGAAGGAATATTTCTGTTCATGTATTCAGTGAAACTTACAAATTGCATTCAAGTATCATCATTAACAGTTATATATGGTGTTCATAAAAGCTTTATTATTTCACTGCAGATTTAGGATTAGCATCTTCCGTCACCTTTACAGAAACAGAGAGTACAAACATCATCGCTCAATTGGTTTGAGTTGCCGCAAAGTAAAAACATTTTGTCATCCCTGTTTTAGGAAAGAGTAGAACCTAAAGCACTGAAGAATGCTGTCTTAAATCTGAAAGGCTGACCCTAGGAATAAGATTCACTTGTTTAACAAATCTCATCAGTCTAGAAATTATCTTATCTCTACCCAGAGCACTTAATTTCTGGTAACTCTTTCTCCATGACACATTCATCAAAGACATGGTTGCTGAGTATCCCTGTGTCCTAATAGACATTGCCTCAGCAGGAAGCCTGCTCTGCCAGGCGTCGCAATTAGATTTATAGTGCTCCCTCAACTCAGGGAACACCCCTGCCCAGTGCTGGGTCATGCCACCCTTGCTGATTATGCTTGATATGCAAATTCCTTCAATGGACTTAGACAGGTCAAATTTTTTTTAATCCCATTGGCTGCTGATCCATACTCTTAATTGGTCTATGAGAATAGGGCACAGTTTTCCATACTTGTCTAATGAGAAATCACATATCTACAAATTAATGGTTGCCTGTTGCTTGTAAAACTGCAGGACTGTAAGTTATTTGAAGGCAGGTTCTATGTCTGATTTGCCTTTGTATCCCTTATAGTGCCCTGCACTAGTGCAAGATTGCTCAAAAGATGTCTAATCACACACAGCAGAGGTACCACAAGGAAATTTTTGAATAGTTTATACAGCTCTTCCCCCACACACTCCAAAAAATTATTACACTATTAAACATAGAAACAATAATACTGGATTTCCCCAGCATTTTAATAGTGTAGTATTAAATTCACTTTGCATTTCATCTGAGGCTTACTATAATATTTTTAGGCCTTTAAAAGTCTTAATCTAGCATTGGATCCACATAACTCACATTCAGTATGTACTTGTAAAATACACAAACAAAAAGAATAAATTAGAGAATTCAACCCATTGAGGTGTTGTCAACCCCAGGCTGATACCCTTTGTCAGAGCAGTACAAAGTAAATGCAAGAGGAGGTTTTTAAATAAAGCAAATTGTGATATTTTAGCTTTGTTTCAAGTGCATCCTTGCTATGTATATACAAGTTAACAATTACATTAGAATTGAATGCTTAACAAAAACTTAACAATTATGTTAGAATTGAATGCTTAAAAAAGTGACTGGGAAGACCATCTCACAATTGTTAAATGCAAGAGATTTTTAAAAATAAAAATAGCTTGTTACCCTCAAACCCATTTTTATTATGTGCAAGGAAGCATGAACTTCAATATTAAAAAGAAAAACATGAAAAATTACTGTAATTGGGGATTTCATAAAATTAGCCTGCAATTTTGTCTCCTGTAGCTTTTAAAAAGTACATATATGGATTGATTCTTAACACAGAAACGAAGGGAAAACTCATTGAGGATGCATTTCAGGTGAATTATTTACTGCTTTCACAGAATTTTAGGACTAGAGGGGACTTTTAGTCTCATATACAGCTGAGGAAACTGAGGCACAGATTGATTTAATGCCTTACCCCAACATCCCTATCCACCGGGCAAGACAGCTGAGATATACTCAGCCTGACAACCCCTGTGTTCATCTCTAGGTAAATCTCCATCACAGCCTCCATAGCGCACACTCCAAACTCATTTGGGAATCCAAACTTCTCCCTTAATTGCCAGAAAATAACCTCACCCTTACTCCAGGGACAAGGTCTAGGTCATTTAGGAGAGTGTCCTCCCATTTCCCTTTCCTAATTTATTGATTTTAATCTCCATCCACCTCACCCTTACTCCAGGGACAAAGTCTAGGTCATTTAGTACAATGTCTTCCAATTTCCCTTTCCTAATTGATTGATTTTAATCTCTATCTTTTCTTGCCTTTGTCTTTGAGGTCCTTTCTTTTTCTGCCCGTTCTCTCCTGCTCTCCCCATCACAACACTTCTGTAAGAATCTTCCTTCTGAACATCTCCTTTTAAATCAAAATCTCCTCCTAGCTTCTAAACTTTCAAAAATCCTTAGGTTCCCCTCTCTCAAAAAATGTCATTGAATGCTATATCTAATCCTACCATCTTGTCCCTCTGTTCCCTTTTATCACTAATATCTTGAAAAAGTGACCATCTTTATGTCTTCCTCTCCTCCTCTTATTTCCTAACCCCTTGCTGTCAAGCAAGTGCATGTTCCATCCCGCTAAAAATATTCTCTTGAAGGTCCCTCAGAACCTCAGGATTTCCTCAGAATTCACTCTGCTCAACTTTTTTACATTATCTCTTTCAACCCCATCTGTCTTTCCATTTTCCTTTTCCTCTGACCTCCATTATAATGCATTATATTTTCCTATTGCTTCTTTCGCCACTCCTCCTAGCCTTCCTTTTGGTTTTGTTTGTTTGTTTGTTTGTTTGTTTGAGACAAAGTCTTGCTCTGTCCCCAGGAGTGCAGTGGTGCAATCTTGGCTCACTACAACCTCTGCCTCCCGGGTTCAACTGATTCTCCTGTCTCAGCCTCCCAAGTAGCTGGGACTACAGGCACGCACCACCATGTCCAGCTAATTTTTGTATTTTTAGTGGAGACGAGGTTTCACCGCATTGGCCAGGATAGTTTGGATCTCCTGACCTCGTGATCCACCCGCATCGGCCTCCCAAAGTGCTGGAATTACAGGCATGAGCCACCACTCCCGGCCTTCTCCTTCCTTTTTTTTTATTCGTTTGTTGTCCTTGTTCCTAGTTCAATAAATGTAGAAATTCTTCTAGTTTTATCCTCAATTGCAGGCTGCTTCTTGATTGTATCCTCTACTTCAGGAATTTCAAATTCTCACATGATTTCAACCAGCCCGCCTGAGCAGATGTACCTCAAAATCTACATATCCAGTTTGAACTTTTGCTCAACTTTTGATCCATGTTTCCAGTTGCTGATCATCTTCACCCAGGCATTATCTGACATCTCAAACTCAATGTGTTCTAATCTGCTAAATTCTATTGCTGTCTTGTTCCCAGTCCCACAGTTTAAAACTGCCATCCCCTGAGGTTCCTCCCTCGCTTGAACACCCCCATCCCATTTGTTCTCAAGCCTTGCCAATGCTATGGTGCAGTATCCCTTAATCTTTCCCCGTCCACTCCCTCTGCCTCTGCCTCTGCTCCAGGGTACCTCCTTCTCACCTCCAGTCTGCTGTGATACAGAGACCCCCAAGAGTCTGTAATCACCGCCTCTTCCCACTAGTCCTACCGACTGTTGTCACTAGTCCTACCAACCGTTGTCAGAGTAAGCTTTAAAACCACAATTTTATCATGCCCTTCCCACATCTAAGTACTTCAGTATTTTCCTACTGCACACAGGCATTTAATATTAGAGCTGCAAAGTTACCTGTATAAAATTTAGTCTACTTTTGTCATTACAAGTGAGGAAACTAAAGTTCAGAGAATTGAGGAAATATATTGAAGATTTTCCAACTCTATCAAGACTCAGATTTCACTATTTTGCCTTTGAAAGTCCAAGAGTGACTTTGTATCAGAGTTTATTCTAGACTCTGAGCAATAGAAAATAAGCTTACACCAACCCACCACATTTTTAAGCAGACGTGGCAGTTTTTACAGATCCAATTGAGAGTCTGACTGTATGGCGAAACCTACTTGGTCTTCTGCCCAAGTTGTCTCTCATGGGAAAAAGAATGACCCAGCTTCATAAAGCTGGAAATATTTCTTAGTCATCTGCATAGTTTTCCAAAACAAACAGCAAGCACTGATGCTCCAATGCAGTAAGGGAAGTGCAATAACAGATAACAGATGCATGCACAATTCTGCAGCTCTGAAGAAATGCCTTTCAAACAGACGAATAAGGTATGCCCATGTCCCATCCCACACTCACAAACAAGAGAGAGGGAAGAGTGTTCATAAATTCACAGGTAGCAAGGAGCATGCATTTACATGAACATCATTTCATCATTTCAGTTCTGCGTCCAAGATGGGTTCTACAGATAATATGTCAGTTATATGTTTTAAAATTTGGGCGATTTACTTTTCTTTTTTTTTTCGTGCTGTATTACTATCATTGTATGTAAATATTACCAATCACAAGGATAATAGATTAGTTTAAAATCAGAATTTTTCGAGTTCTTAAAGTTACAGTATAAATTCTTTGTAGCACGTTTTACTTAGTAGCAATTTACTTGAGGGAATAGGCTATCTCATATTTTATTGTAAAATCCACAGCTCAAGTGCAAATTTGTGCTAAATTGTGCTAAATTGTATTGAATTATATTTAGCCATAAGTTAATATCCAAGACTCAAATTTCCTTATCTGTAAAATGGAGATAGTATTAGTCATGACCACATGTATTTGTTGTGATGATTAAGTGCATAGATTTACATAAATACATAATCTAATACCGAGTTATTATTTAATAAATTATAAGAATAGTAATAATCATAATTATTAATATTAAATACACAATGGATATGTAATTCTCACAATAAAAACATTATCTTTTTACACTTCTCATATTGATCATAAATATTTATTTTCTGAATTATCTATTGTGACTTTTTTTAAAGTAGATACTCATTGTTTATATTTTCTTTTATGATACAATTAAAATTATAAAAAGAACTTTTTAATATTTTTTAATTACTACTCTTAGTATTTTTAAATGCAAACTATAATTTTCTTATATCAGTGATACAAATAAAATTTTTCATACTTTGCAATTCCAAATAAATTCAATTAAAAGTTGAAAATTTCTTATTTAGGGAGAAATACAAGTATAAAATAATAGTAATAAAGAGAAGAGTAAATTGAAAGGTAAAAACAAAAATTCTTAGCATCATCATCAGACCCAAGACATAAACCAAATCCACCTGCTATTTGGCTGATAAAATAATTTTAATGACTCACAAGCCAATGGTTTCATGTCATTTTTAAAGTAACTGGATGATATAAATTTTAAAGTATTTAATTAAAAAATAACTAGTGTGATTATCTTATTTTTTACAGGTGGTGGTAGAAGTTAACAGTGAATTCCGAATCCAGGTAATATACAACAAATCCATTTTTCCAAATTTTTAAACAAGAAAATAATTTGAGAATAACAATATATTTTCTGAAGAAAATGTATTCTTATAGGTAAAGGTCATATAATGCTAAAATTAATAGATTACCAAAATTACCAATTTTCCCAATTAAATATCGTCTGTTTCTGAGATTATATCCTCTTCCAAAAATCTCAGTGGAATTTGAATTACGAATTCAAATTAATATATACCATTTATTTATTGCTGTCATTTAAGGTAAGAGATTATAACACTAAAAATGGCACCATTAAATGGCATTCGATCCGAAGGCAGAAACGTGAATGGATCAAGTTCGCAGCGGCATGTCGTGAAGGTGAAGACAACTCAAAAAGGAATCCAATCGCCAAAGTAAGTATCAACTCCAAAGTATAACATTGAAAATCAGGATGGATAAAGTTTCAAAAGCAACTGTCTGTTAAATATTTTGTGAACATGTCTCACTGAGAAACTACAATACAGAACAGAACTATAGTCATCTAGATGATGAAAACTGAAACTCATAAGGACAAATTAAGCAGGTGCTCAGAGAAACAGGTAAACGTTGACTCATCTCTTTGGTGAAATGCATACACGTGATCGTGTGTTATCCCAAACTCTAGATGAAAAAAGATCATTATTTTAATAAATAATTTGGCTTTCAGCACATTCAAAGAAAAATTTTCAATGTGTGCTCTTTTTGCCTCACAATGTATTAGAATTGAATTCCTACTTTTTTGTTTGTTTATTAACATTCACAAGGTGCCCTCTCTCATACCCCTTTTCTACTCATTTTTCTGTATCTTCCTTTCTACATACACACACACACTCAGAAACACCCCCACAAATTCATGAACATACAGATATACACATCCACAGATACACACACAAATATACACATACATCCACACAGACGCTCACGAAGACTCCCCACTAAGATTTGTTTACAGTCAAACTATATTTTACTTCAAAGAAAGAGTTCCGGTTTCTATAACCATTTATTTGCATGGTCTCCTTCCTTTTCTGCTAATACTTCCTTCCCATTTTCAGAATTCAGAGCTTCCGCTCAAACCCAGATAACACTTGTCACCTAAATAAATCTACTTTCTTTGAAAACTTTACATTGAAAAAAAATTGAAGATTACAGTTGCATGATGACAACATTGGTAAACTCCTTAAGAGGGCAAGCAATTTCATTCTGTAGCTCCAGTGCAAGCACAGACCCTGCAAAGAGTACAACATAAATTTTTTTTTTTTTTTTTTTTTTTTTTTGAGACGGAGTCTCGCTCTGTCACCCAGGCTGGAGTGCAGTGGCCGGATCTCAGCTCACTGCAAGCTCCGCCTGCCGGATTTACGCCATTCTCCTGCCTCAGCCTCCCGAGTAGCTGGGACTACAGGCGCCCGCCACCTCGCCCGGCTAGTTTTTTGTATTTTTTAGTAGAGACGGGGTTTCTCCGTGTTAGCCAGGATGGTCCCCATCTCCTGACCTCGTAATCCGCGCGTCTCGGCCTCCCAAAGTGCTGGACAACATAAAATTTTAACTGTTGAATGAATGAAGGTATGCATAATGATTGCATAGACTTAGATATAGTGGGGTGATATTTTGCTTTTTTTTCTTGTTTGATAGAAGTAGAAACTGAATTTCTTTAATTACATTGTCAGTTACCATTGAAAATATTAGAGCTGTAATTGTTACTCTTATCTAGGAAAATAATTCTCCATTGTCAATATTTCCTAAATAACAAGGTCATCATATGCAACAACTCTCAAGAAAGCTGTCATATATATATCAAATATAGAACTCTATTTGCTTCCTGTAATATTTTTACTTGTGTTCGTTCTGCAGATTCACTCAGATTGTGCTGCAAACCAGCAAGTTACATACCGCATCTCTGGAGTAGGAATTGATCAGCCACCGTATGGGATCTTTGTCATTAATCAGAAAACTGGTGAAATTAATATAACATCCATAGTTGATCGAGAAGTCACTCCCTTCTTCATTGTAAGTGGACTTCATGTCAATATATATGTTCATGCTGAAATTCTTCTCAGAAGCTTTTAATCTCAGATCATACTTAATTTGATTTCAAGAGTCTCAATATTTGGCATTTTTGGTTATTTCTTAATTCACGAGCATCCCACGACTGAAAAGAAATGCAAAGATTCAGAGAGAAGGAAATGTTTCACTTAAGTGTTAGCAAAAATGCTAACGTCTATACTGTCCTCATTGGCAAACTAGAGTATTTGTTTGGAAGAACAAATATCTAACTTTTTAATTTTTCGGTTTTTTTAAATTCAGTAAAGAATGTTAGCTTCTTTTAAGTCTAATGTCAGGTAATGATTCTAGAGCTACCGCAGGACTGTTTTCTGAGCAAGTATACTTTACTATAAATTTGTATTCCTCAAGCTCGCCTGAGCTCCGAATGCACCTTGAAAATTCATCCTTTCTTAAGGGAATCTCACTCCATTCTTTATAGGAGCTGTCACACAGTTTAAGTATCCTATCTCTTCAAACCCTCTACCTCATTTCCACTTTAAGCAGTTGACATTGTGACCAACTTCACGAAAAAGGCTGAGACCATCCATCACAAACTCCCACAATTATTTCCCTCTCGCCCAGCTCAGAAATGTTCTCCATTAAATCCAAAAGCAGGATCAATTGTTTGCTTTTTCCCACAGCGTATTCCAAGACATTTCCATCGTCCTATAATTACCAGTTACTTGGAGAATCATTCCATCACCTCTGTTTTACTGTCTCCCTTCTGCCGACTCCTTGGCTACTCCCATTCCCCTCTATCATCATGGCCAACACTTCTTAATATTAAAACTAGGAATAAAGAAACCCTATTTTGCTCCTGTTACCTCTTCTATTAAAACCCCATCAATCCATATCCCAAAATACCTTCAAATAATAATCGAGATTTGCAGTTTTCACTCACACTGCCTGCCTGTATTCCTCACACAACTTTAATTCTTTAGCCTTCAATTCCAAATCTTTATTTCTCCCATCTGTACCACAATGATACCCCACACACTTTAAAAAGGCATGCTACCCTGTTAGCTTTTCTTGGAGCACAATGCATTTTTAAAATCTTTATTATTTTTTTAGAGACAGGGTCTCATTATATTGCCCAGGCTAGTATCACAATGCATTTATATATGGAAATATGCCATTTTGTAAAATAGTACACATTACACTTAGGGATGCTTCAAATACAAATAATAATAATAATGATACAAACCCCCATGTAGCTACTACCTAGCTTAAGAATGCCACATTTGCTTTCCTTTAGTGACTGTAAGCAGGGCTTGTGCCTATGTTCTAGTTAGACATAATAATTCTTTTAATTCCCCACAGTGCTAGTATAATGCTCAAAGTAAGAACTTAATACATCTGTGTTTCACAATATAATTATTTATCTTTTCTCTCCCAGATCTACTGCCGAGCTCTGAACTCAATGGGCCAAGATTTAGAGAGGCCGCTAGAGCTCAGAGTCAGGGTTTTGGATATAAATGACAACCCACCAGTGTTTTCAATGGCTACATTTGTAGGACAAATAGAAGAAAATTCTAATGCAAGTAAGTAATGTAGTGGCTTCCAAATCACTCCTAACAAGCAGGCACCTAACTGGAGACTAAACTATGTCAAATACACACCATGAACGTAACAGATAAACCATAGAAAATATGCAGAATAGCAAGTCTTTCCTTTCAACTATGGAAGCAGCTCCAAACTGAGAGACACAAGGCGTGATTCCAAAGCAATGAGGAGGATTTTCTCATATGACTCTCAGGCCAGCCCTGTAGAAGAGTCCTAACAAGAAATTTTAAAGGCATTTTGCACAGTGGTGGCAGGGGCATCGGGATGTGAATTCAGCCTCCCAGTCTAACTGTGTGGATGGGCAATCCCACCCTTTTCTGCTCATACTGCGTTCCCCACCGCCCCACCTTTTTAAAATTAGCTACTTTAAAATCACTTATAGAAGTCACTTCCACACAAAACTTCATTTTGTGGTTTAACCTGGAAGTGATAAAATTTCTTGTGAATTCCAAAAATCCCTACACTTTACTTTTATTCATTAAAATACTGTACCTATACTTTCAACTTTCAAGAATGTTATTATAAAAATGCTCATTAAATTTATATAATATGAAAAGGAAAAGGGAACAAAAATCTGTTGTCTGCATTTCCTAGTACCATTCTTCAGAGGTATGCACTGAGTACATGCATTCTATTTATGTAAACATAAATCACATGCTTTTTAACATAAATGGTATCATCTGTTACATACTAATCCACATGAATTTTTATATAAATATATTTTGAACATGTTTCCATATCAGGACACCTAGATTGTTTCACTGCTTTCAAATAGTTGCATGGAATTTAATTATATAAATTATATAAGTGTATATAAATGTTAATTATCTAGTGAAAACATTTTAAAGGTTATGCTACAATGAATACAGGTGGGGGATGACAGATGCCTTGGAGCATTTGTAGGAAAATTGTATTTGAAATGGAGTTGGAGAGTAGAGAACAATTCCAAAGTTACGAATGAGCACTGGCAGTTTTTCACATTCTCCAATAACCCAATAATCTTCATCAAAACTACTTATAAAATTAATGAAAAAGATAAGAGACAGAACAATGTATGTAGTTAAACAAGCATTTCTTTACATCTACTAATTACCTTACACTTGATGAAGGATCACCCAAAACAAAACAGTAATAATGTATATTTATCAAATGTGCATTATTCAATAGGAACTTTATATAGTTTTCTCTTACTAATGATTTAATTCTCACATGAATTCAATGAGGATGGCAGTAATATCATCCCCATTTATAGACATAGAAACTGAGGCCAAGATCATATAGCTAGAAAGTGTTGAGAAAGTTGGGAAAATGTTGGTCTGGTCTTATTATCATTTTGTTTTGCCACAACATCCTTTAAAAAAGAAGAAAAAATACTAGAAGAAGAAATAGCCAGAATAACACGTTTCCTTTGTTTCCCAGTTATCAGCAATGTCTAGATTCCTAGTAAAATTTGATCTTTTTATTAGGCAAAGATATAGAAAAGAGCCAAGATATTCATAAGTTGAAGGAGTAGAAAGGTAAGACAATGAAGTCCACATCATATGAATCAACTAACTCTAACACTTTTTTGGAAAGGTGATATACTATACTGTAACAAAAACGTAAGTCGCCCATTTGCAATCAATTTTCCTTGATTTCTAGATACACTGGTGATGATACTCAATGCTACTGATGCAGATGAACCAAACAATTTGAATTCAAAAATAGCCTTCAAGATTATAAGACAAGAACCTTCAGATTCACCAATGTTTATTATCAACAGAAATACTGGAGAAATTCGAACGATGAATAATTTTCTAGACAGAGAGGTAATTCTTTTTCTTTGTGGGTTTTTAGTCTCAAAGGAACTGATTCTAAAAGCAAGGATACTGAAGAGACAAAAAGACAAAGAAAATGATGTTTTAAATTTTTACCTGTATAACTTTTTACATAATTCTTTCATGTAAGAAATATTTTTTAAACGAAAAAGGGAGGATTTTTAAATTACGTTTTGTGCTTTTTTCATATAGTTAATTAATTAAAATTTGCTTCAATGTAAGAAAACTATATTGTTAAAGTACATGAAAATATGCCTAAGGTACAATGAAAAACTCTATTTCTCTAAAAAGTGTGTTCTATAATAAAATGAATTTAGGAATCACTTGCTATATGTCCACATTTTGGTGAGTTACAATGCATGTGAGTATGCTGGAGGCTCCAAGAATATTTACATGCTAAGTTCTCTTTCTTTAACCTAGCAGATCTAAGCTCCATTGACAACAGAACCCTTTTTCTCCTATGTAACATCCATCAATAGACCACCCATTCATTTACTTTGGGAAATGAACCACAGGATAAGAATGACAGTCTGATCAATCTTTTTGTTTACAGATAAGAAAATAACTAGTGATTGTTAACAGAGTAAAGTCAGCATTATGAGGTTTCTAGCATGCTATGTGATTTCATGATTTAGTTTTAAAATATGTGCTTTTTCATTATTTTAAAAAATATTGTCTTTTAATAGAATCTCGCTGACCTAAACGTAAATTAGGGGCATAAGTGAGGAAACTATTTTCTGATGGTATTCAATTAATTTTGTTTTAATTATTAAAAATGACAATCTTTTTGCTGATGACTTTTAGGTTTAGGATAAATCACATTATTTTAATACTCTTTAACTATCTAAATGTTATAAGCTTCTAAGTTACCTAAGTGTCCCTTCATGCATGTTTGAAAATAAACATTAGAAGAAATTAAATGTTTACTTTTTTCTCCCTCAAACTTTCTTAAACGCCCAGTGGGGTTTTGTTCATGTCAAAAGAGCTTTCATGGTAAAGCACTGTAAGAAAGGGCTGTCAGAAGGAAAGGGACTCTGCAGCCATTGGGAAGCCACCAGAGCAGATATTCTCAACCTGGGGTCAATGGAGAGACCTCAAGATGTCCCCATAAAACCCCCTCAATCATATCCATCATTTCGAATGAGTGTGCATTTTTGCATGAGTCAAAGAAAGCCTCCATAGCTTTTACCAGCTTCTAGAAATGTAAGCACCATTGAATAGAGTCAAGACATACATCACCAATAACTCCATTGCCACAACCCACTACCTCCCAAAACACAAATCTATGTTACCTCTCTATATGCTTCTTGCCCACTCGGGGCTGATTATTTAGGTTATGAAATTTTCATGCCATAAACTTTTGGTAAACTTACTCTCTCTCCTTGAGATCATTCTGGTTTGTTTTACCCTTTATAAACTTTTTCAATGTCTGGGCATATTATTATTAATAAGAAATGAAGCCTTTTAAAAAGTGTTGCATCATTTAAATAATGCATGATAAGCATTATTGGCAATAATCACATGAAACCTGTGGATTTTCCATATTCTGTGTTAACGCTCCCTCTATCGTAGATTTATGTAAATGTTGAGCCAACATTTCAAAGAACTTCACATAAGACAAAGTAAAGGCTGTCTACGTCAAGTGTGACATTGCTTGTAATATGTATTTTTAGCAATATGGCCAGTATTCTCTTGCTGTAAGAGGTTCTGACCGAGACGGCGGGGCAGATGGCATGTCAGCGGAATGTGAGTGCAACATTAAAATCCTTGATGTCAATGATAACATCCCTTACATGGAACAGTCTTCAGTAAGTATTTGTTCTTGGAATTAATAACTCTCAATTCACTATATACTAAAACATATACGAACAATTCTACTTACAGAGGCACATGTTATGTTTATTGACATGCAACCCAAATGTAGACACATACCTTTTACTTATGCTTATGCAAGAATAGATGGAGTTAAGCCATGAAAAATGAGATGAAAACTACAACATTCCAGTATAAATCTACTATAGTTCTCTTTTTCACACAGTTTGTGCTAAGAGTTTTCATTTCTTGTTTCAGTATAGGGTGGATATTGAAGAAAATACTCTAAATTCAAATATGCTCGAGATTAGAGTAATTGATTTGGATGAAGAGTTCTCAGCTAACTGGATGGCAGTAATTTTCTTTATCTCTGGAAATGAAGGAAATTGGTTTGAAATAGAAATGAATGAAAGAACAAATGTGGGAATTTTAAAGGTTGTTAAGGTATGGTGTAATTATCCTAAATATTTTGTTTCCTTAACCTTTTTTCAAAATGTTAAACTTAAAATAAAATGATGCTAACATTTCACAAACTTGACTTAGTGAAAGAATAAAGACTACTGTGTTTTAAATTTATATGTAACATAGAGCTTTTTAGTATAGTCTTTCTGCTTATAATCATTTTTAAAAAACAGGCATTGAATTTTAACTTAAAACATTTTGTCAATACATTACTCCCCAAATAGATCATATAAATTCAAAACACCTTAAAAATAATATATTTTATGCTTACAACAAAGTATAATTAATCCTTAAGGTTAATGTTTTAAGAATTTTTTAAAAGCATATTTAATAGGGGCTTTAAAACTGTGTCCATGTCAACATTGTAAGTCAATTATTACACATGTGGAATATCCATCATGTAAATAAAAATGTGTTTATTCCTCCAGTGTGTTTTCATAAAGTTTAAATTAAATTACTATAAATGTAGAATTATCATACTCCCATTTCACTGTGGCTGCTGATCAAGGCTTATTAGGAACACAGATATACTGGAAATTTGGTCCAAGTCAACTGGTCCAGAACAACTGAATGCTCTTATGTCCTCCCCATATTAATGGTCCACATTTACCTGCAGTAAAATTTCATGAGATGTGAGAAAAAAATTTGCCTCCTAGGGAGCTGATAGTCAAGTTTCTCCCTGTGCTACACAACTTGTAGAGTCCATTTTTAAAATCTACAACAACTGTGCATAGATTGTATATGTTTCATGCAATATGTATTTTCATGGTAAAATATAATCCTTATTTAACTATTTATTTTCGGAATAGGCCTGGAAAACAGACTCTCAAACAACTCTGTCCCCATAAGAATCTGTGACTTTTTGCCTCCTGTGTCTTCTTAAAGTGTCACCATGCCTACAGCTTATATTTAACTTGATACAGTGTGCAGGTGCTTTAGTTTATCCCTCAAAGCATCCCTGCAAATTAGGTTATATTATTTCCATATTGCAGATAAAGACATTGAGGCTCCAAGAGAGCACAGAACCTGCGTAAGTTCTCATAGCTAGTAAGTAGTACAGCCAACATTTAAACCTAGTTTTCTCTAGATATGAAGCTCACATTCTTTCCATGATACTATTTAGGATTCAATACTGGGGAAATTGGAGTCTAATCTATTTTGCCCCAACTATTACATTATTTAGAAAATTATTCAACCTATCCGTCCTCAAAATCTCTATCTGTAAAATGGGAATGATAATCGTTTGCCCAGAGATATCATATATTAAATCCTTTGTTATAGCTATATACATATATATATTATGTGTGTGTAATGTATATATACATTTGATTTTACAGTCATTCTTTGAATTGCAAATAAAACCAACATTAGAACAAAGATTCAAAATTTTAGCTAAATAAGAGAGCTCAATGCGTGAATCTCTATTTTTATCTAAATTACTCTTGTGAAATTTTAGAAAAATATATTTGGTATATATGGGCCTAATGGCATAATTGTTTGTGGATTTTATGTGTTGTAGATATTAATATCATTTTTCATAAAGAAAATCACTACTTGATTATTTTACGAGATAAATATTTCCTAGAACAAGTTGAAGAAAATATTTCTTTATAGTATATATATTACATTATATTATCTGATTTGTTCAAAGAGTCACACTTACAGATGTGAAATTTCTTCTAAATAGTTCTTATAGATAAAACCATTCAAATGATTGAAACCCTAATATATGTGACCCATACTGTGTAATAAATAGCTACTTTCTGAAAAACGTAAAATGATTGAAGGTAAGATAAATTGCCTTTGCACTAAAAAATACATAAATTTGACTATCCATATTATTTTAAGTTTTTAATTTGTTTGGTGAACAATTAGAGCTCATGTCATACGTTTACAACTTTTCAACAATGAATCTAGGGCAATTGAATTGTTTCTTACTTTATTTGCGCAAATTTACGTCAATTAAAGATTAAAAATTGTGTATTTGTGTGCATTTATGTTTCATAAAAGAAAGAGAATCATATTTTTTTTTGCTATTATCAAAGGATTTCTCTTTCACCTGGAACGTTTTCTCTTCTTATACTAAAACTATTTTACTCTGTATTTTCTAGCCCTTAGATTATGAAGCTATGCAGAATCTGCAACTTAGTATTGGTGTCAGAAATAAAGCTGAATTTCATCATTCAATTATGTCTCAGTATAAACTGACAGCAACTGCAATTACTGTGACTGTGTTAAATGTAATTGAAGGCGCAGTGTTTCGTCCAGGTTCAAAGACATATGTTGTAACTGGTAATATGGGATCAAATTATAAAGTGGGAGACTTTGTAGCTACTGACCTGGACACAGGTGGACCTTCAACGACTGTTAGGTAAGAGTGAGATTTTCAACTAATTTTCCTTACGTACTGAACTTAAGTACATATGTTCTTTTTATAGATTATAAGCATCTGAGTTAAAGTACTTTTCCTTATTTTTGAAACTATCATTTAATTGTAAAAAGTACTATAAACTGTTCATTTAAAATGTTTAACTTAAGGAAACATAAAAATTCATGCAAGATGTAAGATGTTAAACTGTAAAGATGTGATATGTGAAAATAATATATCTAAAAAGTATTGACACTCCTGTATTTCTGTATCTTACTGATCAATTAGCTGATTACTATAGGCCATGATTGGTCCCTCAGAAGAGTTTATGGAATGATTTTCCGATTGTAAATCTGCCCAGCTTTAAATCAATTAGATTTTATTAGCTCATTTCAATTATATTCTTCACTTTATTCAGCATTCAATATTGGTCAATAACGCTGGTATGAAAAATTAGTTATATTAAGGAAAACTATGCCATGTTATTTTTTAAAACTATATATGCAAATATTTCTACCAAGTCACAAAAGAAAATCTGTGTGTGTACATGTACCTGTGTTTGCACATGTGACTGTGACAAGAAGAATGGGAGAAGCACTTTACCCATGCATTTTTTGTTGTTTGGGGTTTGTTTGTTTGTTTGTTTGTTTTTTGAGACGAGTTTCACTCTGTCACCCAGGCTGGAGTGCAGTGGTTCCATCCGAGTTCACTGCCACCTCCGCCTACCTGGTTCAAGCGATTCTCCTCCCTCAGCCTCCCAAGTAGCTGGAATTACAGGCACCTGCTACCACACCCGGCTATTTTTGTTTTAGTAGAGAAGGGATTTCACCATGTTGGCTAAGTCAGTCTCCAACTCCAGAGCTCAGGTGATCCCCCCTCCTCGGCCTCCCAAAGTGCTGGGATTACAGGCTTGAGCCACCGCACTCAGCCCACCCATGTGTTTTAAAAGTTCTTTCTTGGTTTTCTCCTCACATAGTGTGAGTAGTTCTGTTAGAGGTCCTGTCACACTGTACCATGTTGCTGATGAGCTCTCCTGTACCCCACAGGAGTGAATTCACTGAAGGTAGACCCAACACAGAGCTTAGCAGAATGCCAGAGACAGAGACAGAATTACCTGACCAGTGTTTGTTTCACAAATGGTAGATGAGAAGAAAAACATGGAAGTCAAAGATGAGAAGAGAATAGAATAGAGGCTCAAGGCAAGGCCATATTTTGGAATTCAGAAGAGGTCTTTTCAAGTTCTAGTGTATGCGGAGAGGAGGAGTGGAAACAGGGGGGAAGTGCAGGCCAAGTTGATGAAATAACTTCTTTGTAAAAGAATAGTTTAGAATTAGGAGCAGCCCAGGAAATCCTAGGATCTAGGTCTTCTGTAATAATTCTGCTGCTACCTAAATCAAATGAAAATGAGACTGCAAGCATCAAAGGATTATTCTGACATCCAACTGGGCATAAAAGGACACTCCATCAGAAATGGGTGCTCAGTATTTTTTTTTCTTAAATATAAATCTTGATGTACCCCTGAGTGGCCCCATATAGCTAAGACTGCCCTGAGAAAAAATAAAGTCTCTAGTAATTGAAAACTATATCTAGGGGTTATAACCACTCACTGAAAAAAAAAAAATACATTTTAAATTAAAATTTCTTTTTTTAGATAGCTGACATTAATTTGTATCATTTTCTTTCAAATACAGATATGTAATGGGAAATAATCCAGCTGACCTTCTAGCTGTCGATTCAAGAACAGGCATAATCACTTTGAAAAATAAAGTTACCAGGGAACAGTATAATATGCTCGGAGGAAAATACCAAGGAACGATTCTCTCTATAGATGGTAAGAAATCAATTGACATTTTTATCTTTTCTAGAGAAAGCTGTATATATCTTAAGATACTAAAATTTTAATTATCACATTTTAAAGTAACCCCTTTCCAACAAAAATTGTCACATTGGGCATTATAGACTCATATCTTTAACAACTTGAGGCAGTATAATTTAGTAGCTAAGATCGTGAGTCCTGAAATAAGACTAGATTTGTGTCTTCTACCATCACGTACTAGCTATATAATCTTAGAGAAGTTATTTATTTATTCCATCTATAGCTGTTGTCTCTTTTTTAAAATGGAACAATAACAATATAGGTTTAGAAGGATGTGATGATAATGATAAAAATAGCAACAAAAACAAAACAGCAGGATTAGCATAGTTGAGCTGAAAGGACATGGGCTTTGATAACATACAGACTGGATTTAAACGTATTTCTGTTATATTTCAGAAATGTTTTTATTCACTTATTTAGAAAGTGTATATTGAGTCCTAACTAAATGTCAGCCATTGTGCCAGATTCTAGGGTCACATCAATTAATAAAGTCAGACAACTGAGCTCACATCTATATAATAAAGATTACAAAAACAACCTCAAATTATTCCCATATTTTTGCTGAATAATTCCACTTTCAATAATCTTAGGAAAAGTTTAAATATAACAAGCTGAATGCACAAGATGTTAATTACAGCACTAATAATTAAATATTGAAAACCACATCAATAATAGGCAACTGGGTAAGTAAACCATGGTCCGTTCGATATAAAATTATATAACCATCAGGAACTATGTTAATAAAAAGTTTATTAAAATACAAAAGAATACTTACAGCTTAAAGTAAAAAAATGGAATGAACCATATGATCACGTCAGTGTAACATAAATAATAAGCAACCATTAGGCATTATAATTAAGGACAAAAGATCATTTTAAAAAATATCAGCGAGGGTTGTCCTTGGGTGCTGCTACCACGAATTTGGTTTCTGGTTTTGTTTTGCTTCTTTCTGTAATTCTATACTTTTCAAATTATATATAATATCCAAATTATATATAATGTCCAATTATAAATAATATCCAAATGTAAAGAAATAATCCAATAAATAGTATTACTATGACTAATAGTTATAATAATAATATAATAATTTAATTGATTTTTAAAACCGAGTCAAAAACAAGGGATGATTTGGCAAGTGAGGAGAAATGATGGGAATAAAGATATTGAAATAAATATTGGTGTAAAAAATAATTCAGTATTGTCCAACCATTACTACACTAAATGTCTAAAATATTTCTTCCATTTTGAACGTTATTACAGATGCTCTTCAAAGAACTTGCACTGGTACAATTAATATTGACATTCAAAATGTTGATGGAGATGACAGGACTAATACACAGGCGAGCACTGAAGTTACCAATACTGTCAGAGAAGAAAGTACTTCTTCCACTAACTATGAAACCAGCACAACTTATGCTCTCTCTCAGTCAGTAACTTCTACTGTACACAATAATGAAGAAACCCCATTGTTCGCAGACAATGTGCATTTCGGTCCTGCTGGCATTGGACTGCTCATCATGGGGTTCTTGGTCTTAGGATGTGAGTACTTTAGCAAATCCTATGTATATGTGTACCCCAAAAACTGGTGGGGGAAGAGATACGTTTTCTGATTCTTTGATAAAACATATTTTACAAACTCTCATTTTGTGCAATTATAAAGAAATTTCTACGCTTGGCACTGGGTTTATAAGGTGAAAAAAATTAAACTTCTTGACCCCTTACAGGACTGTGGAGGATAAAAACTTATTTGCAATAAGTCTCAATGTAATGGGGAAATGCCATGACAAGCAGGCTCAAATTGCTATTGCAGTGAAGAAGACAATCAGAAAAGGCTACAGAGGGGGTCGGGTGTGGTGGCTGACGCCCGTAATCCCAGAACTTTGAGAGGCCAAGGCGGGCAGATCACTTGAGGTCAGAAGTTCAAGACCAGCCTGGCCAACATGGTGAAACCCTCGTCTCTACTAAAAATACAAAAATAAGCCAGGTATGGTGGCAGGTGCCTCTAATCCCAGCTACTCAAGAGGCTTAGGCAGGAGAATTGCTTGAACCCAGGAGGCAGGCGTTTAGTCAAAAAAGAGGAAAGAAAGAAAGAAAAAGAAAGAAAGAAAGAAAGAAAGAAAGAAAGAAAGAAAGAAAGAAAGAAAGAAAGAAAGAAAGAAAGAAAGAAAGAAAGAAAGAAAGAAAGAAAGAAAGAAAGAAAGAAAGAGAGAGAGAGAGAAAGGGAGAGAGAGGAAGGAAGGAAGGAAAGAAAGAGAGAAAGAAAGAAAGGGAGAGAGAGGAAGGAAGGAAGGAAGGAAGGAAGGAAGGAAGGAAGGAAGGCAGGCAGGCAGGCAGGCAGGCAGGCAGGCTACAGGGAAAGAGTTGCGTTTTAAAAGATGAGTAAGAGTTAGGCTGATGGACTAGAGAAAGGGAACACAATACAAGGGGGAAAAAACTATGTGCAAAAACCCAAAAGAATGAGAGTGCAAGGTACTGCAATGAAGAACTCCAATGTGCAAGAAATAAAATAAGTGCATGACAGCATAGTGAAAGTTTAGACTAAAAGATAGGCAGGTCTCAAAGAGATTTTATTGATACTAACACTGCATAGTATTAATAAAAGGAGAGTCCCTAGGGTTAAACTCTGGTTTCTAAGCCGAATTGTCTGATTCTTCTGAAGGTCACCTAACCTTTCTGAGCCTTGTTTTTGTCATGTATGAAATAATACTTACCTTAAAACAATGCTTTGATGATGAAAAAGAAGTACCACACAGGAAGCATTTAGCGTGTTCTATGGCCACTAGGGTAGCACTAGTCAAAGGTCTAGCCATAAAGGTAGACTACAGTGGATTCTCCAGGTGGCCTTTAACATTACCTTGAATGATGATAGAAATTAGAGCAAGATAAACCACATGGCACAGTCTTTGAGAAATGAGAACAGGACCTCTAAAGTAAGTAGGTTGTAGTCTGCACATTGCAATTAAATTTATGCCAACATTGTCATTTTCAAATGTGGAATCAAAATCTTAAGGTCAGAAGGTACCTCAGATATTTAAATCAAACGCACACACAAAATATAAAGTCAGAGCACTTACATACAAAATATTTTTTTTCTACTTTCATTTTTCTTTGCACATGAACAGCGACAGATATTTTTTGCTACATTTATTTGTGAACTGGGTTTTCTCTGATTTTAAACAACTCATTTTTTTTTTAAGTTTTCATCAATATTGGACTCATCTAAACAAGTCTGGTCATGGTGATAACACAGCTTAAAGCTGGAGTTCTTTTTCCAAAATTTAAAACATATTTCCAAAAAATGAAATTTCTACATTGACAAGAGTTTATTCTTATCGGTTCATAAATAATTGAAGTAATAACTAGGAAAATTTCTATGAAACGGGGAAAAGGGAAAGAGAGAAAGAAAAAAGCATTCTCATCAAAATGAACCAAGACAGGAAGAAGGCAAAAATGCGAGTGAAGTTGCAGAATATAACATAAAATACATATGAAACGAGTTCATTCTCTATTTGTTATGCATATTGATTACAACTTACCTTGTAAAATATTTAAATTTAATACTTCATAAGAGCAACTTAATTACCCAACTGCTGATTATCACTACTGTAAATAATACCTGACTTTCATGTTGAGATTTTTGTTTTTTGGGTTTTTTTTGTTTTTTGTTTTTTGTTTTTTGAGATTGAGTCTCACTCTGTTGCCCAGGCTGGAGTGCAGTGGTGCAATCTCAGCTCACTGTAACCTTCGCCTCCCAGGTTCAAGCGATTCTCCTGCCTCAGCCTCCCGAGTAGCTGAGACTACCCGCGCGCACCACCACACCCTGTTAATTTTTGTATTTTCATTAGAGACGGGGTTTCACCATATTGGCTGGGATGGTCTCGATCTCCTGACCTCGTGATCCACCTGCTTTGGCCTCTCATGGTACTGGGATTACAGGCATGAGCCACCGCGGCCGGCCTGAGTTGGTTTTTTATATTGCTGACTACCTCTGGGTACTGTAGTTAATAAAAGATTTACAAATTATATATGGGCCTTAGAGTCATCACTACCTGTAGACCCAAAGTTTCCTCTAGTAGATTTTCAGAAAACCAACACATGGGCTTCTTCTCTTTTTTCTTTTTTCTTCTCTCCCTCTCTCCCTTATTTCTATCCTTACTATCTTCTTCCTCCCTAATTTACTTCCTTCTTTTTTCCTTTCCTCCTTCTTCACATTTTTAATTTACAAATTCTTTCTTTCATCCATTTATTCAAAACCATTTACCAAGATTAGATTATATAAGAGGCTGATAATAAATAGAAAAATAAGAAAACTCCACTTGATTAACAACAGAAGACACTGCTAAGCAGCGTGATGTTTTCTATTTGTATAAGAGTTGTTGAAAGAAAAGACACCTGCATAGGGGGAAATAGTAGCCTCAAGGAGAATTGCTGGAAGCATGAATAAGATTTTACCGTTGAAATAAAGGCAAGCATATGTGAAAGGAAGAAAATAAAGACATGGAGGAGAGAACACAAAGGATCAACTATATTGCCTGACCTTTCATCTTTCCTTCTTCTCTCCTTTAATATTTTTCTAAATAATGACATGGAAATATTAATTGGTTTTAATAATGTGATACTATCTGTAATTTTTTTTTTTTTTTTTTTGAGAGAGGGTCTCACTCTGTCACTCAGGCTGGAGTGCAGTGGCACAACCACCGCCCACCTCCCTGGTTGAGCAGCCTCAATCTCCCTGGCTCAAGCCATCCTCCCAACTCAGCCTCCGGAGTAGCTAAGATTACAGGCAAAAGCCCCATGCATGCCTAATTTTTGTATTTTTTGTAGAGATGGAGTTCCACCATGTTGCTCAGGCTTGTCTCAAACTCCTGGACTCTAGCGATCCACCCGCCTCCGCCTCCTGAAGTGCTGGGATTACAGGCGTGAGCCACCATGCCAGGCCCACTATTTGTAATTTTTAATACTACAAAACAAACTAAAATTGACTGCAGTCTAATATACAGAAACTCCTATTTGCTTTGGGCTCTGACCATTACTCAGCTTGTACTCTGAAACTTTCATAATTTTAGAACCAACCGGAATTATATCAGGAATTCAAATTTGACCATAAAAAGTCAAGTTGTTTTGTTTTTTATTTGCACCAAGCGCTAATCTAGTATTACTATCCTTCCACCACCAGTGGTCCCATTTTTGATGATTTGTTGTGATTGTGGAGGTGCTCCTCGTAGTGCAGCTGGCTTTGAGCCTGTTCCTGAATGTTCAGATGGAGCAATTCATTCATGGGCAGTAGAAGGACCACAGCCTGAACCCGGGGTAAGTGCCACATTCTAATAAATAGCCTTTGGTAGTCACTGAAATTCAGTCTTTACACATGAACCAAGATGGCCGCCATCACTCACAGTCTATGCTGTTTTTTGTGCTGAGACATCTAATGGGGAAAATGAAGAGGAATCAAAAGCACAACAAAATTAGATGGAAGTAACAAGGGAAGGTTTTCTAAGTGAAGTTCAAATTTTAAATGGATTTCAGCATTTCCTAAATAGTATTTTTTTTTCCCAGAAACCTGAGGTAATTTGAGAATAAACCAAATATGTGACTATAGAAAGATTACAGTCATTGGTCATTACAAATGGCAATGTTGTTTCCTGTCTTTTAGGTTATGACCACCATCATACCACAAATACCACCTGATAATGCAAATATAATTGAATGCATTGACAACTCAGGTAAGAAAAAAAAATTGTTTAACAACTCAAATGATTAGGAAGTCTGTTTTCTCTCTTTGCATATTGTTGTTTGATGGTCTTATTTTTCTTCAAAAGTGTTTATATCATTCTTTTTTAAATGACTAATTTGTAAATTAAATGGCAAGGAAAAACCTACAGTAATTATTATTCTTATATGCTGCATTTTAAAAATTTTCCTCAACCATCAAAGAGTACTTAGAAGATGACCAAATTAGGATCTCTATATATGCAGAAGTACTGAATTGTAACCATGAGTAAGTTTTAGTCAAGATTTTTAATTTAATAGAGCAAATTTCATTAACAGACATACACACACATATGTCATACACATATATACACTAATTCAAATTAAAGCACAACCCAACTAAAATAGACCTGTGCTCATTGATTGAGGCTAAAATCTTTATACACAATTAATTTAAGGATTCAGAATTGCTTTGACTTTAGCTGCTTATTATAACATAGAAAAAAATTACATCCATTTTCAGTATCATCACAAATATTACCTAAAAAATATTTGTCCAATTTCTTTAATTCAAAGCAAGTAGATGAAACACTATCAAAATCTTTCAAAGCTCTCAACTGAGATTGTGTGCACATGGTGGAGTTTCTTCTAGCACATGGGTAAGACTGTATAAATCCAACTTGCCTTAAAACAGGAATCTAGACCAGTTCACAGACAGAAACCAGGGAACAATTAGAATTTCACAGTAAGTGGATAACTACCACTATAATAAAAGAACAATTAAAATAACATCCATATCTGTGAAAATAGTTGTATCACATTACTTTTCTCAAGGTAAATAAATACTATTGGTTAGCTTATTTTTCTCTTAGTCTTTTTAAACAGTAACCAGTGTTTTCTACTTTAAACTCTAACAGGCATAGACATGTGTATAACTTGTAGAACTGGAACTTATTCAAAGAATTGGACACAGTAATCTTTAAATCTATTTCTCCACCTGATTTTTCCATTTTCATTAACAACCCCAATGTCTTCTCACCTCAAAAGCAGAATCTCATTGTTGACTCACATTCACTAACATCAAAACAGTTCTCAAGACTTATCAAATCATCAAATCCATCAGTATTTATCTACACATTTGTTCCCATTAAGTCTACAAACTTTTGCACAGATTTTGAACAAAGCACCATAAGAGGTACCAAGGACAATTGAAGCATGAAAAGCACACTGTTCCCAAACTCAAGATCCTTCACGTACTAAAACCAGTGGATACATATCCCACTGACAACATTCATCATTCCATAGCAGTTCCACGGTCCCAGTCATCATTTTATCTCACCTACCTCAAATATTTCTTTTTTTTTTTTTTAATTTAAAAAAAATGAAACACTTGACCAATTTGTGTATCATCCTGTGCAGGGGCAATGATAATCTTCTCTGTATAGTTCTAATTTTAGTATATGTGCTACTGAAGCAAGTATCTACCTCAAATACAGTAACAGGCTTCCACTTACTCCTCACATCCAAGTGCAAACCCAAGATTCTTCATGAAAACCTTTCTCCTCACATAGCCATGGCCTCCTTTCTGAAAGCCAGTGGTTCTCATGTCTTTTTCTGGATGTCCTGTGCTTCTAGTTACACATTGGGGCATTCTTACACTATTTTTTTAACTTTCAGAATTTGAGTATTTTTCTTCCAATTTCCTTCAGGTTGAAATCAAACTCTTTAGGGCATAGATTTTTATAAGTCCTCTGCAGCCTTCACTTCCAGCAGAGAATATAGTAATCTCTCAACAGATAATTATCAAATTAACAAATTAATAATATTATTTTGAGCTCAATATTGTATTTATATCTCATTTCTTTATGTATTATCTTTTTATTTCTTTGTTCACAAATGCATACCTAAATGAAAAAATCATGTATTATAAGGCAAGTTGTTAATTTTTTAGTTTGTGATAGACTAAAGAAAATAAACTTAATTTGATCAACACTTTTAGGAGTTTATACAAATGAGTATGGTGGCAGAGAAATGCAAGATCTGGGAGGAGGAGAGAGAATGACAGGATTTGAACTAACAGAGGGAGTTAAAACATCAGGAATGCCTGAGATATGTCAAGAATACTCTGGAACATTAAGAAGAAATTCTATGAGGGAATGTAGAGAAGGAGGTCTGAATATGAATTTCATGGAAAGCTACTTCTGTCAGGTAAGGTCCCTAGCCACATGTCTTTCTCGCCATCCATGTGCCCGCTGCTCTTCACCCCAAGCTTTCACTAATTCCTAAAGGGGCTTGGGCAAGAGTCTCCTAACTAGATTCTCAGCCTTTGTGTCCAACAATCCATGCTGTTAATTAATTATAGATCTAAAGCTCTGACCTGAGCACTTTACTCCCCAACTTAAGAACAGCCAATGGCTCTCAGCTCTTTTGTTCATGGCATGCAATCCAAAGTCCTTAACATGTTAATTAAGATTGTTCACAAAATGAACCCTCCCTCTCATCTCCAATTACTCCTTGCCATCAACTCCACTTGCTGAGCACCTTTGCCACAGACTTTTCATCTCCATGCGTTTGCTCATCCTGTGCTTGCATCCTGGAATGCTTGCATCCCACTATGTCTCTCACAAACTCCTACCCATTCTTCAAGACCCAGTCCAAATATCACTCTCCCTCCAAAGTTTTTACAGTTAACCCTCTCATCCAAAATAGGAGTAATGTTTTCTCATCTCTATTTCTGCAGTACTTTGTTTACACATTTATAGAACCTATCATTGCTGAAATCTGTCAGTTTATATGTTTACCACCACTTTTAGTGTCTCATCCATATGTTCTCTACATTATATTGCCAGTACATAGTTCAGCTCTAGACACAGAGTCAATAGTTAATAAGAGTGGGGTCAAGAGCCATAGTCTACTTCCAAAACATTGTAAGAACGTGCTGCAGGTGGTGGGAAGAGCATGAAACTTGGAGAAGCAGCTGCAGGAGAATTAACTTTGCCATTCACAGGAAGAGATGTAATTGTCCATGGTTACACACCATATGATACTCAACCTTCAGGAAGTTCCTGTCCCTGATACCAACTAGAAAAACATTTCTGTCCTTCTACATTCTGGCCTAAAATGGTTCATTAACTAACCTAGTGGTTGGTTTAAAGAGTGGCTGATGTTTTTAAATGAAATATTGGTAAAAGCCTTCAAATAGCAATAGACAGTAATGAGGCTTGCTGATAACCATAGGAATACTTATTCATATATATAACAAAATATTTTATATTATATTTTAATAACATAGAAATATCTTCCTTCCACTCTCTGATCAAATATCACTTTATCAGAGACCCCTTCCTTGATTACCCTATCTAAAAGAACAACACCCATCATTTTCTTTTTCTTTACCCTGCATCTGCCACCTCCTGACCATAGGCTTCTGTATTGTCTGTCTCACTCAACCAAAATGTAAGCTCTGTGAGAGAAGAACTGTACCTGGTATTGTTCATTATGCATAGCTAAGTTCCAAACACAGAGTGTCTGGCAAATAGCAAAGGCTCAATAACTATTTTTTATATGAATGGCACAATGAGTTGGTTTCCTATGAGATATTTCTGTTAACCTGAAAGTTTACAATCCACTATTATGAACAGCAAAGATGAAACAAAATCATATATGTCTTTGAACTTTTACTTTGAATTTAGAGAGATTATATTTTTAAAAAATGTCTTTGGTCACCTTTAATTTTGTAGAACAGACCCAGAGTCAAATTTTCCTGTTGCTCTGCTGAAAAAGCCATGTTGCAATAAAACTTCACAGAATCATCATATTCACTCCATCTGAAGGAAAGAAACAAAATCCTGAGTGAACCCAAATCAACTATGAACTACCTTTTCCAGTCAAAAAACAAAACAACACATTTTTATGTCCTTCAAGTTCAGCATTTTTATATACCTCCAACTTTGTTATAAATAATTCATGTGTTTTTTTGTGTGTATGGTTTTATGTCCAAAGTACACAATTATAAATAAGTCCATCTAAGTAAATTTTAAAAATCACATTATTGGAATTACACTTAAAATAATTTTTAACCGAATTATTTCAAATAATTATAAAATGATTTTTAAAGCATCTCTAGTAGATGTCAGAATCTTGTTTTATTTCATTCCTCTTTGGAAATGCTCTGGAAGAAAAACTAATGATAAAGGTTGTTCTATTATTACTAAATATGCATTTATAATTTCATTTTCTCTTTCTCCTATAAATTCAGAAAGCATATGCTTATGCAGATGAAGATGAAGGACGCCCATCCAATGACTGTTTGCTCATATATGACATCGAAGGTGTAGGTTCCCCTGCTGGCTCTGTGGGTTGCTGTAGCTTCATTGGAGAAGATCCAGATGACAGCTTCTTGGATACTCTGGGACCTAAATTTAAGAAGTTGGCAGACATCAGCCTAGGAAAAGAAATTGAATCATATCCAGACCCTGATCCTTTTTGGCCACCCCAAAGCACTGAACCAGTTTGCCTTCCTCAGGAAACAGAGCCCATCGTTAGTGGACACCCACCAATCTCCCCACATTTCGGCACTACCACAGTAATTTCTGAGAGCACCTATCCCTCGGGACCTGGTGTGCAGCATCCTAAGCCTATTCTCGATCCTCTGGGCTATGGTAATGTCACTGTGACCGAGTCTTACACCACCTCTGACACTCTGAAGCCCTCTGTACACTTTCACGATAACCGACAAGCATCAAACGTGGTGGTGACAGAGAGAGTGGTCGGCCCAATCTCTGGCACTGATTTGCATGGAATGTTAGAGATGCCTGACTTGCGAGATGGGTCAAATGTCATAGTGACAGAAAGGGTAATAGCACCAAGCTCTAGTCTACCTGCCTCTCTGACTATTCATCATCCTAGAGAGTCTTCAAATGTGGTAGTGACAGAAAGAGTAATCCAACCAACTTCCGGCATGATAGGTAGTCTTAGTATGCACCCCGAGTTAACCAATGCCCACAATGTGTTTGTGACAGAGAGGGTTGTTTCTGGTGCTGGCGTAACTGGAATTAGTGGCACCACTGGGATCAGCGGTGGCATAGGCAGCAGTGGCCTGGTTGGCACCAGCATGGGTGCTGGGGGTGGGGCCCTGAGTGGAGCTGGCATAAGTGGTGGTGGCATTGGCCTGAGCAGCTTGGGAGGGACAGCCACCATTGGCCACATGAGGAGTTCCTCTGACCATCACTTTAACCAAACCATTGGGTCCGCCTCCCCTAGCACAGCTCGAAGTCGAATCACAAAGTACAGTACCGTGCAATATAGCAAGTAGTCAGGACCCCAGCTCACTTTTTCATAGTCACTGTGGTTTAGATCCAATTCCCACCACTAAAAAACTAACAATGTGATTTATAACGCACAACTTCATGCTCAGGTCATCTAGGAGCAAGGTGAGAAATCACAATGAGAAAAATAAATGGAAACACCGCTGCTAGGGGAGAGCTCTCCTTAGCGTTCATAAACATTTTTCTTATATTAGGACTAAGGAACTAAAACTTGAGGCAGAGCCTTCTTTGTGCCTGAATGGCCTGTAGTCTATCTCCAGCATGTAACTGGCCTTACAACGGCAATTGGCATAATTCTCCTTGCTGTTTTGCTTTTCCATATAGCTTGAGCAAAATTTAAAAAGAACTAAATATGCAATATGTGTTCATGTCTGTGGGAAAAATCTAAAATGTGTGCCACATGCCCTCAGTTTCACAGATAACATAAATAAAAATTAAAAAAAATTTTTTTTTCAAGTTTGACTACATAGTCAAGTCCACAAACCATCAAGCCCTCCTCCTTAATTATTGCACTAGATAAAATAAATTTCAAATTAGGAAGTGTTTCCTAGGAGGAAAATTCCATTAGAGAGTGACAATAGGATGAGGTTTCTTCAGGGTAAACTAGCAACGCCTGAGCCTGAATCTTAATTTGGGGTCTCAGTTAAATCTCCTGTGGAGTCAAGGATTCTTCTGATTCTAGTTTGTGTTTAGTGATAGATGTAATCTTGACGAATATTGCTTACTGGTAAGGTTGAGGAATATCACACTCACTTTTCCCTTTACCAGTGTGGTTTTGACTTAAGAAAGCAAAACTTTCTAAGTTTACTTCTTGAATTGAAGCAAGTGAGGCCAGACATGGTTGTCATCACTAGTGGTAAATGACCTTCCAAGTAAGCAAATGGGAACTGAACTGTGTTTTCAGGTTTTGTTTTTAGTACGTGATATTCATTCATATCCAGCTCTTTATTACATAGCTCTGAAGTTAAAATGATTTACATAGGCTGAGCTGTGGACAAGAAAAAAAGCAGCAGCTTGCAGTATGCTTAAGCTTTGGGGAATTTTTTTTTAAAGGGGGTCTAAAAAAATGTTTTTAGAACATGTAGAATGTTTAATGGGGAAAGTTGGAAAAGAATTGTTTTGTAAAGTAATACCATGCTAATTATTCGCTTTTAGCACGTAAAGCAGTGGTTGCTTTAGCGAACCTCTGCTGCCCTTTTGCAGGGATCAATCAGGAACCTTTAACAGAGTTGACAATATTGTATTGATAAGAGTGAAATAATAATAGATAACCCCCTAATTTTTCTCACTAGTATAAATTTTAAATTCCTGATTTGATTTGTCAATAAGATCTGGGCTTATTTATGCTCTGATTTATAGGTAGTGTCCAAATTATACAGTATAACATATTTTTCTAGTTTCAAAATTTAATAATGTCCTATTTATGATATACCATTTCTGTGTGTTTGCTATATAGTATTACCCAATTAAAAATCTCTAAAAAGAAAGCATTCTAAGGAAAAGGTAAATTTACTATTGCATGGTAGAGAAACATTTTCCTTTCTTAAATACAATGTTACTATAAGCTCACTAAACTGAAACTCTATATGACAAAATAAAATTAGAATAAAAAATTTGCCCTGGAGTTGTGAATTATATACAACTTTTAAAGAATTTACCCCGATTACTCAAATTTTCCAGGAAATTACAAGGCCAAAGAATATTTGACTTCCTACACTGGTCAAAAGGGGATAGGAGTGAATTATTTAAGCTAGAGCTGTTTTGCTCTGTATAACAGCAGATAAGGCTAATATTTTTAAAAGCCACAGTATACATCTTCTTTTAAGTCGTAGAATATGTAAAATGTTGATAGTCTGTAGTATGCCAAATGCAGAGGTATAAATAAAGTCATTCAAAGGGAGTCTTTTCTTTTTCTGCCACTTAGGGGGCTTCATTAAGGATGGGTAATCTTTCCAGGAATAAAGTCAAAAGGTATTTATTAAAATATACTTGAGTATGCCTGGGTCCAGGAGTTTTAAGGAGTAGAAATAATTATTAATGAATTAAGTAATTTATTAAAGGGAATGGTAGCTGACCACAGGAAACTTGCTTGCTGTTTTGATATGAAATATCATCACAAGCCTTTTCTTAAGACATCTGATATCTTCCAGAGATATTTTTTAGGCTGTCTTGCAAACAACAAAATCGCTATCTTTAATAACTGTTGCTGCTAAAATCCGATGGTTGTTAAGATCCCCCCAATTTAGTTACATTTGAACTCCTAAACACTGTTAAACGATGGGAAAAACAAGAAAAAACATAGCCATATGAGTCATCTATCTTTCTTGGAAGATACTTTCTAACCAAACTTTTCTTCCAGGATTGCACATTGATGGGAAAAACAAGAAAAATTGAAGTATTAGTCATCTATCTTTCCGGGAAGATACTTTCCAACCAATTTTTTCTTCCAGGGTTGCACATTGATTTTCCCTTTAGTCCTAAATTTTAAAATTACCTTTTTAAGATATCAATGATTTTAGTAGTTATTTAAAGGCATGTCATTTTTCAATGAACAAGCTTTGGACAGAACTTCATTCTTCTTTTTAGATATTTACTCTAGATCATATATATCATGTCATAGACCAAGAAGAGATATGGAAATCATTTTATAAGTGAATACTATAATTAGGATTCAAGTTGAGTTTCAGATCAACTTGCTCTTAACAAAATGAAGAAGAAAGAGGTAGCAATTTAATGCTATGTATATATGGTTTGAAAACAAACCACAATGTTTATAAAATATCTATCTGGCTTTCTAAAGAGGTAGTCTTTCGTGGCAAAAATCAGTGTATTATAAATACTTTACCATTTAATATCAACCAAAATAACATCTCGAGCTTACTTTGATACTGAATTCCAGACACACCTGCTACATATTATTTACTTCTAAGCGTGTTGCCTGATGTAATTGTATTTGCACTGAAAAATCAAAAGAAAAAGTACGTATTTAGGCATATTTATATATCTTCATCTAGACATCTGTTCTACATTTGTGTATAAAGTTTTTAGCATCATAATTTTTATTCAAGAAAATGTTCTGACAACATTTTAATTATATGTCTTCAAAAATTACATTTTTTACTCTAGTAAGTAGATGTTTTTAGTAATCTAGGCAATTTATTTCTGAATTTATACCAATGTTTGATTGTCATGGTACAAAACATATGACACCTTTTGGCTTTCACTGGAGTTGAAAGGCATTATAATCTTTACCATAAATACCCATGACTATTTTGGGAAGACATTTAAAACCCAAAACAAACTTTTAAAAGCATTTGCCACATTTTCCCATGCCTATTTCATAAATTGCAACTTTTTGTTTTTACAATTTCTGGTATTTTTTAAGACCCATTTCCCATTGTACTAGGATACAGCAGTCCACAGTAGAGTGCTACTCTCCTTGAAATCAAATCTGTCTTCCACTTCCAGATTATTCAATTTATGTTAGGACAAATCTTGACAAGATCAACCTATTATCCATCAAATAATTTTAAAACAATGTGTAATCTTGTTTAATTGTCTGCATTCTCTCCCCAGTTCAGCTGTATTTGAATTACTAAACACTTTATCATCAAACTGTACCTAGTCTAACTTATTTTTCTTTTGCTATCAGTTTTACAAGCATTTTAAAATTCTAATATTCATCTCTAGTGGTGTTTAAAACAAGGTTCTCTTATTCAAGTTTCAATATAAACGTTTTTGGATTATTTGGGTGCTAGTTTCTTGCTTGGTTATCTGTTGGTTTTTTTTTTTAAGTTGATTTGTAATTTCCAAAGAGTTATGCATACAGCAATAAAATGATTAATATGCCTCCCTTATCTTTTCTGAATTGTAAGCAAGGGGAAGGTTTTAGATGGTAAAACCAAAGTTATCAAATCTAGTTATTATTATCATCCTGTATTGGAAGAGAGATAATTCTTTTATTTTCACAACGTTAAAATACATTTTCATTCTCCATTTCCTAGCTGTCTTTTTTTTAATGTGTACTGAGGAACCTACTCTCTGGACCACTAATTACAGATGCTAGAGCCCAGTCTTGACCAGGTGGTTAGCCCCACAAATGAGCAGATGATAAAAAGCTGCATTTTTAGTTTTTATTTGATGCTTGTAGCATCTTTATACTTTTACCTTTCTTTCTTTCATACTCTGCATTTTTATTTTTGCATACACCAGCATTTTATTTCTTTTAAAGTGACTTTTCTTTTTTGACTTTTAAATCATACCCTTTCATCTTTACTGAGATGCATCTCCTTTTGTTCTCCAATGCCACTTCCAGACTATTATCAACTTCATCGTGCACAAAATCTTACCTCTTTCAGACTCGTATGATCCTTTCCCTCTCTCCTCTTCATAATGTCTCCACTTTTAATGAAGCCTCAATGTCCTGGCCTAAAGTCTTTTGTGACTTTATCAACTTCTGAAAGTGTTCATAGTAACTTAAACATCCACATGGATGAACCACCCAAGACCCAGATTCTCATTCTAAACCTCCATTTCCCCTCTCCACTCAGCTGCCATTTCCTTGTCATAACCTGACATATTGGTACCTGGAATGCCTCAGTTTCTGCCTCTACAGCCTCTGACCATTTCCCTCTCATCCCTGCAGCTCATGGGCTCATGCTGTTGTCATTTCTCCACTTTATCAAAGCTTCAGTGTCTTGACTCTCACCACTTTCTCACTGTCAGCTTCACCTCTCTGTCTAATCTAGCTTCATGAGTACAACTAGAGTCACTTCTTTGTGAATGCCTTCAACCTACTTTCCCTGCTCTCTGCCTCTCGTCCCAGACCTTTCGCCCTCAATCTGCGTCTCCACACAAACAGCCAAACAAATTATCCAAGTGAGCTGACTTTTTAAATATTAAACACTCAATCTCAAATCTCAGCATAACATCAGATACTTCCCTGAAATCCTATCTGCTTCTCTTATAGATGTCCCATCTCATCATACTAGATTGTTACTCTGCGTCTTCTTTGTCCTCAAACCTCCCATACCCCCTCTTCCCTTCTCATTCTTTGTTGATGACCTAATCCTATTGTTCATTGAGAAATCAAAAGTCATCCATTTCAAATGCATTCATCTTCCTCTGCAAAACCTCCATATCCACCGGTACTTGCACCCATCTCCTCCCTCCCATGGGCTTATTCCACGGATTTGTGATCTACTCATATGAAAACACAGTCCTCCAGTTCTGCTCAAATCAAGGACTTTGCTCCTTCCCTAATAGTACCTTTCCTATTCTTTTTCCTCTCTCTCTCTTTCTGTTTCCTCTCCTTCTTTCTCTTCTCTCTTTTTATCTTCTCTCTCTTTCCTCTCTCATTCTCCCATCTTTTTTCTCTCTCATTCTCCCATCTTTTTTCTCTCTCCACTCTCTCTTTTTATCTCCTCTCTCTCATTCTCTTCCTGTCTCCTCTGTCTACTCTCTCTCTCTCCTCTCTTCCTTCCTTTCCTTCCTCTCAGTAGAACATTTTCATCTGCACCCCTCCTTGCAGCTAATGCCTCATTTGTTTGCTTGTTTCATCAAGCTTCTTGAGGTTCATGTACACATGCTGTCTTTTCTTTTCCATGTCCCATCAGACTTCAAAGTCCTCCCATCAGATTGTCATAATGGTCCTTATCAAGCTTGTCTAAGATGTATGCATTGCAAGCACAAGGCCCACTTTTCTGTTCTCCCTCTTTCTTAACCTCTGGGAAAAATCTTTAAAAAGTAACCCTTCTTTCATCCTTGAAACACTCTTGTGTCTTGACTTGTGTAACACCATTCTCTCCTGATATCCCCTGTATTTCATCAGCCAGTCTTGCTCATTCTATTTCCCTTGTTTCTCATTTATCCAATCCAAAGTTTGGTCCCAAGCTCTCTTCTCTTAACATTTTACACTGATTCTGTGAGACCTCATCAAGACCCCTTTTTAAAGGTTCAAAATTAAACTTATGATTTTACCTCCAGAGTTTCCCCATTCCAATAAATATTATCCCATCTACCCCTTACTCAAGCCAGAAACTAAGGACTCCTTGATCTCATTCTTTCTCTCACTACCCAAATTTTATCCATTAGGAAGTTCTGTTTATTTTATAACCAATATATATATTAAGCCATTTAATAGTTTGTATTAGTCAATTACCACACTGCTATAAAGATACTACCTGATACGGGTAATTTTGAAAAGAAAGAGGTTTAATTGACTCACAGTTCTGCATGGTGGGAGGCCTCAGGAAACTTACAATCATGGCAGAAGGCGAAGGGGAAGCAAGGACCTTCTTCACATGCCAGCAGGAGAGAGAATTACAAGCAGGGGAAATGCTGATGCTAATAACACCATCAGATGTCATTAAAACTCACTCACTATCATGAGAACAGCATGGGGGAAACTGCCCCCATGATCCAATCACTTCCCTCCCTTGACACATGGGGATTATAATCCAAGATGAGATTTGGGTGGGGACACAGAGCCAAACCATTTAATAGTTTTAATCCTTATGTGTCACCATCATACTGGCAACTGCCTCCTAGGTAGTCTCTCTGCTTCCACATCAGCCTTCTTCAAACAATTTTGTATAGATGAACCTATGTGACCTTTTAAAATAT